CACACACCCACAGGTGCCCAGAAAGACTTGAAGAGCCCGAGTCTCGTATTTCTACTACTGTAACTACTGCTTATACTGTTGGTCCTAGTGGTGTACTTGAGTGATTGTAGTGCTGGTATTATTACAGAAGCTAATATTTGGGCAGAAATGACACCGATTGGGGTCAGATCTGGGCGTGTGTTCCCTTGATCTCAAGTGGGAGTGAGGACTGGGATTTCTGATATTCCGAGTAGAGTAAGTGTTTAGGGTTCGGAGCACATCAATGCTTGCCCTGGTTGTTTCCTAGGAGACTACTGTTAGAAGTATTGTGCCTATGGTAGAAGCGCTAGTTCTAGTAATCATACTTGCGGCCTGGTCGTGTATGTAGGAAATTTTAAGGAACAGACAGATACGATACTACCTAAACCTACACTGCGCGGTCTCAAAATATTTCATAATTCCAAACCCTCTTAAAACCGAAAGAGTCCATGTCTTCGAGGCTAAAAATTTTAAGATGTGATTTGCTAACAGATGGGCAGAGGAAAAAAAGCAGTTTTAAACAAAATGCTTTGGAATTTATAATGGCATCTAAAGTTGACGGATGAAAAGCATACTTACTAAGATGACGTTTCTCATTAAGAAAAGTTTCTGCAGGTGGCAGAAAGGAGGTGCATTTAAAAAACTGGTATCCTGACGTGTCTGAATTATCCTGGAATTACGCTGGGCAGGACTGTGTTTAGAGGTCCTTTTTGCATTTGACTCATAACAACAACATACTTTGGCCGTTTAAGTAACTTGGCTTTCCCTTTTTCGTTAACTTCCGCCAATACAAGGTCAAATTTCCTTTTATTCGTTAAATTCCGCCAAGATAAGGTTAAATTTCCCTAAAATTATATCAGTATCCTGAGTAACAGAAGTTTCTGTTGATGGATTTGATTCCATTTAGTACATTGAAACAAATTTAAGTTTCTTTACGTTAATATATTTTTGATAACTTCCGCCACAATTAAATATTCATTTACACACATTAACCAAAAATTAAATATCTGATCACAAGATGCTGTAGAAAGTTGGGCGGGGTGAATAGATATGTAGGGGGCCCCACAAGATAGTTTTTCCTTACGCTGTACGATAATCTATATTGCAATCCCACCTCAGTAATCCTTCCTTATCGAAAACGAAGTAGGGTCAACATTTCGTGGGAATGTGTGCAATTTTTGAAAGAGAATGTAACGCTGACCTGCAACAACAACTTCGAGGTCGCTGCCATTCTCCTGCCAGGGGAGTAACTGCTGCAGTTCAATCTGTAGACGTTCCCGCATTCCGGGCAAGTGTGCAAGTCCACCGGTAATGAAGAGGCGTTTAGGGACCCAGGCGCTGGTGTTACTGTTGTCTTTGTACAGCGCCACGGAGGAGTCCCGAAGTATCCACGAGAAGCACTCACTCACGCCCGCCTGCGAGCTACCAATGAGACTTCGTTCGAAAAGGGCTTCCGTAGCGCTAGTAAAACACAACAGACTATAGTTAGAGGCTGTTCTGTGACATTCATCAAACCAAAAATATAATTACTACTAACGGATTGGTAGTAACCAGAATAATACAAACTATATTAAACCCTGGTCGCTGCTCCGAAAGCAGGTAAGCCGCGTGCACTACCTAAAACGCCAGCTTTTGGGAGAAACGACTGAGACATGGTAGTGGGATGGGAGAGAAGTTAAACTGCACAGCGTGGTGGACGAAAACAGTGGAATTGAACTTACCGAATGGGTTCAGCCCCAATATTAAGAGTGTAATATTCAGCAATATCAACTTTGAGTCCTGTGGTGCCGGCATCCCTAAAAGGAGACACATAAAAAACTTGTAAGAAAACGTCAGGAACAGCCAATTATGTCGAAAATGCTTAAAAAGGTATTACTTGGTTTGTTTTATATTGTCAATATCCAGGAGCAAACATCCTGGGAATTACCTATAAACAGCTGATTTAACCTGCAACCTCCATTTTACGTTATGGTTTACTTTAAAAGGAACAGCGGTCGACGAAAATAGATACAAGCACGCGATATAGCATCTTCTTTAACAGCTTGTAAAAGGATCTATAAGATGACAAAAGATTTAAAAAGGTAAGTTCTATTGGACTTTTGGCGTCATGAATGTCCGCACTTACTTCACGAACTCTGGGTCATAAAGGGCGCGTACGCTGTCGAGAACGGCTAATTGATCCCGCTCGGATTCGCTAAGATCACTTAGATCCTCAAGGCGATCGAACGCGTCCCGAGTACGTGTACCACTGCCACTAGTAGTATTGCCATTGCTGAAGGGAAGAAAGGAAGACGGCGATACGGGTAAGTTGAGCGCTTCCGCCTGCGACGACGGTGCTCGATTTTCCAATTCGTCCAGGCAGTCCATTGACTCGAAATCATCGTCCAGCAAGGC